GAAATGTTAAAAAACAAAATGTTTGATTTGAAAAACCCTTAAGACCATGAAGAAATTCACCATTTAATGGAGTTTATTTCAGATGAAGACAATGAGGATGTCAAAGATGAATATTTTGGTGTCGAATGTGATAGTGATTCAGAAGATGGTGTACATAAAGATTGATTTGAGACAGAACAAGAGGGAAGTGAAGAAGACAATATTGAAGAAAATACTAACTTTTATTTGGGAAAAGATCAAGTCGCAAAGTGGTATAAGAATACCCAGCAATGCAGGTTCAGGGATGTCATAAATCATTACTCATTTACCTGGAGTTATTGGAGCATCAAAGTCCACGAAAACTCCTGTTGAATGTTGGAATTTCATGTTTACAGATGATATTCTGAATGATGTAGTGAAGCATACCAATCAGTATATCGATATCATCAGAGGATTATTTCTCAGAGAACAGGAAGTGAAACATACAGGTTTGGTTGAAATAAGAGCATTCGTTGGATTACTCTACTTAGCTGGTGTTTATAAGGCAAATAAACTATCCCTCGAGGAACTATGGGACAGATGATGATGGCATTGCAAAGTTTAGCCTTGTTATGAGTATCAAAAGATTAAAGTTTCTTATGCAGTGTCTCCGTTTTGATTTGATGTTCTTTTCCATCCAGAAAAGAACTGGATTGGCTCACCTCAGTACAAAATATGTTTGAAAAATCTGTAAAAAACTGCCAAGAGAGCTGCTGCATTGATGAAAATCTCACGGTAGATTAAATGTTGCCTGCTTTCTGTGGTAAGTGTCCTTTTAGACAATACAACCCATCTATACCAAGTAAATATGTAATCAAAATGTTTTCCGCTGTAAATGCTAAAATGTTCTATTCTTTCAATATGGAAATTTATGCGATAAACAAAAGGAAGAACTTTTCTGTGTAAGCAACAAAGCACCTGATGTGATGAAAAGATTAGTAGATCCTTTGTTTGGTACTGCAAGAAAAATAACAGGCAACAATTGGTTTACACAGGTGAATCTTCTGAATGAACTGAAACATAAAAAAACTATCGTATGTTGGCATGATCAGAAAAAGCCAAACAGAGTTACCAAAAGAATTCGTTGCTAACCAAAAGCAGACCCCAACACTTCAGTAATTTTGGTTTCAGTAGTGATGGTAATGTTTTGGTGTCCTACGCTCCAAGAAAAAAAAAAAAAAAAAAATTCTTCTTGTATCATCATTGTATGATGACCAAGCTATTGATCTTTCTACTGGCGAAAAACGGAAACCAGAAATAATCATTTTCTACAATGAAACCAAGTTAGGAGTAGATATTTTAGATAAAATGTGCGATTTGTATAATGTGTCTCAGAATGTAAAATGGTGGCCCATTGTAATCTTTTTACAATGTTAAACATTGCTTCAATCAATTCTCAGATCATGCATGTAGGTAATGGGTACACTGCTCTTATAAGAACATTGTTCTTAAAACAACTGTTTTGGACGACTTGCTCAAAGAAGTCTGATGTAAATTGGGATACCAGAGTACGCTTACAACAAAAATTAAAGAGAGATGCTCCCAGCCAAGAACAACTTGAAAATTGTGTTCAGCCACCCGTACCTCCAAAAAGACGCAAATGTAAAACATGCTATTTGGAGACTCGTAAGAGAAGATTAAGCCAGTATGAGTGGAAGAAGTATCACACAGCTACCTGCTTCTGTAGTGGCACACAGTGAACCGGAAGTTTATCTTCTTCAGGAAAGATTTTTTTTGGCTAATAATTCATTACTAATTGCAGTATTTCATCTCAGTGTACCCTGTCTTTGATGTGATTTAAATCAATATCCTAATCATTATAAATATTAAGAATGTATGTAAAATGGTTTTCTGGGTGCAGTTTTTTTTATTTCATTTCCTTTTCATATACAATGAAATTATCCTTACCTTATAATATCTGTATCATTGACAATTGTTAAAAAATTTTGTTTTCTGCGATAACAAAACCATCAATTTTGAATTAACCTTCAAATTTTCCTATGGGTTTAATTTTACTATTGCCAAATCTTGTTAACTGCAGATTTGCAGTTTAAGTTCAGGGAAACCTATCTTCTTATGTACATCTTCTCAAATTGACGTTACTTGCATTTGCAATATCTGTTAAAGAGTTGATTTGTAAATTAACAGCTTTATGCATTTCTTTCTGACAAATCTGAGCAATTGGAGTTACAGTTGTGGAATCTGGGATATTTTTAGAAGATGTTTTGGAACAATTCACAGTTTTGTTAAAGTTTCACAGTTTGATAAGTTATATTTAAAACATTAAAATACTTTACTATCATTATAACATGAGTTCAATTTGTGACCTATGCTTCCGCACCTCGGTTCTTTACTCTTATTAAGTATAGTGAATGCTTTATTTTGTTGTATTGGTACTTGAATAACCCTTAGGCATTGTATCTTGAGCTCTAATCATCTCATAAATTTTTAATTTCTCTTTAAATTTGGAAATAATTTTGCACTCTGAGAAAATAATTTTGTTACTGCTTGGATCAGGTATTCCATTAATTACATAATTAAGAATGAATGAATCATCAACAGAATGACTGACTGTTTCTCACATTGCAGTTAAATACTCAGGGATTCACCAGGTTTTAAATGTCATTTTTGTAACAAATTATGAAGTTGTGTTTTATTTATTTTAGAACCAAATTGAGACAGATTAACTAATTTCATGATATAATACTTTTCAAAGACTGAATAAATACTTTAGTGAATCAGTAAGCAATTTTTTAGTAAATGCAATCTTTTGTAATCGAGATAACCTAAATAAATTAAAAGATTCTTCTAGATTGTAAATCAATGATTCGACCAGATATGTATCAGTTCTGAAACAGTTTCAGAAATGTCATGAATGGGTAGTGTCTTTAAAGTCATCAATTTTGTGTAAACTAATATTTACATAGCGATTCTAGATATGAGTTTAATACCAAAAGATTTTAAAAAAGTATTTCGCCATAATGCAGTTACGTACGCAATCTGCTACAAGCTCCGTTAATGAGAACAGTGTAGTATGTATGTAAGTTTCAGCCTTTCAAGACTGAAAAATTTAGTTTTTGTTTATTATTCTTATACCAAAAGTGTAATAAAATATTATTAGTTGTCATAGTATTTTGATGTACTGAGTTAATCACATTAGGTGATTCTGACTTAACAGAATAAACATCACCGTCATTATCAGAATCATGAACACTTTTGTAATTGGATAACTCATAAGTTTCGGATTATATGAGCTCAATCAACAATTTAAAAGTGTAAGTGGCGGCTGTTTTAAGCATATAGAAATGTTACTATTGTTCCGGCAAAGATCATATTTTCACTTTAACAAGAGCCTTATAGGTAATGTGCACCATTACTCAGGTAATTTCAGAAATAAAACAATTTTCTGCACTTTAACAGATCACCCTAGATAATCTGCAGGATAACTGATTTCTGCACTTTAGCAGTTACTTATGCAAACATACAAATTGTCAAACAAACCATAAATAATTTTTTGCCTTTTTTTCTTTTGTTCCTTTTTTTTTAGTCTAAAGGGGCAATTTGCCCTGAAGAACTATTAATTTTGTTTTGGCATTTTGCATTGAAAACTATAAACGACAAATGGCTTTTCGAATTGTTGCCACCAAATATTAGAGCCCTGTATTATATTTAAAGAAATTAAACAATGAAGAATTTGCATGAATGCAAGTATGTTTCTCATGTTGTGATAAAACAGCGTTACCTAGAAACATCAAAATTTGAATAACATTATCTTCCATAGAATATGGGCATGTGGAATCCCTAATTTGAATTTGAAATTTGTTTTATTATTGATTTCACAATTTGTAACACTTCAACAAATTTTTTAGTAACAACCTCGACGATTTCAAAGTGAGCAATGGCAACACTGTGCGGAAAGAAAAAAAAAAAAAATTTTTTTTTATTTCCAGCACATGAGACTCTGTAATAAATTCTAAAAATAAAAGAATAAGCTCATTTTAAAATTATTTTACGATATTGCTGTTGAACTGAATTTTATGATTTGAGTATGTAGGACATGATATTTAATTCATAAATGTAACACACAGAACTTTAAAAAAACACCCCTTTAGACGTAATTTAAAATCTTAAACCCATCAGATTTTTTTGGCACAAAAATTTATTTTTAAGACTGGTTCAAAATATGAAAGCAAAAAAAAAGTCTTTAGAAATTGTTTTTGTTTTACTAATTAATTTTCTCGTGGATTTTGTGTGCATGGGTTCTGATTAATTAAGCAATAGTAGGGAAGAATTTGAAGAAAATGTGGATATCCATTGCTGATGATGCTACTGAAGTTCATTGCATGTGGGAAAACAGACTGAGTTATGATGAAGGTATTGATGATGATGACGATTGCAACAGTGTGTAAGCTGTAGCAGATGACATGACATAACAGACAGTTCCAGCAGCATTAAATAATTTGGAGCCTAAAGAGTAGCTGTGGACAACAGTGAAGCATAGGCAAGACTCAGAATACTGGAAGTGGAAATGATGATATCAGATATTAATAATGCTAATATTAGTGTATATTCTTATAGGAATACAGTTTTCTTTTAAGTAAATAATATTATGATAGTTACTGGTAGTTTATCTTTCAGTATTTTTCATTTGTTATACTCATACTGCACCTGCATTTTTTGAAATTTTAATTATTCACATAATTTTCCTCTCTTGATTTTTATACCATAAAATTGGTAAAGAAAAGGAGGGGGATACATGAGTAAATACAATATAGGTATTATTATACATGTAAAAGTTTAAAATAATGAGAAGCAAGTTATTTTCTTGTTATTATTATGTATAAATTTCATTCCAATGTTCATTAACTATATCCTTAACTGAAAATAAAAAGAGCTATGACTTTCTCATTTATGCACTGTTTTAATTAATTTAAATATTTTTTAGAGATTTTAAATTATTCTTGTAATGAATATATCTTTAGAAAAAGTCAAAATCCATTGGGTAAAAAAGCTGATGAAGAAGGTTTGACAGCTGTGACTTGGATCCAGAGTCATCTGGAGGAAGATCCCGATGTTTCTCTTCCTAAGCAGGAGGTGTATGAAGAATATCAGTAAGTGAAAAGCAGATCTTGTATTGAAAGAATTTTCTTTTGATTTATATGTGCAGAATATTAAAAAAAATTATTTGCAACTAAATATCTCTTAAATGATTGGTTGTAGATTATGATTTTAGTTTAAGGAACAAATCAGAGAAAATAGTCTTTGAAAATGTAGTCCTATGGCAATGTCATGAATTAAAACAGATGAAATTAAAATTTTGATATGGGCTCCATGCAGAAAATATTTCAACAAGGAAATCATGTATTTTTATGTTAAAGCCATACCATGTATTTTTATGCCATACCATGTATATTGGTGTATTTTGGTCCATTTCTTTCCCCACATTTTTGGCCCAGCGCTAGACAAAATGGAGCAGTCAAGAATAGCAAGGAACACTCCCTAATTTCACAACAAAATCCTCTAAAAGCCCACTGTGGGGGGAAAAACACAGCTTACAGAATTTTTTTATGTGAATAACTTTTTACCAATTTACTCAATTTTATTATTTTTATCAATTTTAAAGTTTGGAATGAGATGAGAAGGATTTGACACACAGGTCCATTATGTCATTATTCCAGTCATTCGTATTTGCAAATCATGTAAAGCAAACTTTGGTTCACAAAACTTCATAGATATTCACTCTTGATGCCGTAAGTAAATAATTGTTCAGAGTAATGAAATGAATGTATTATCCAGAAAAATCATGTTTATGTTTAGACACTTTTTTTTCTCCCCTGAGTGAAGACTAAATAACTATTTTGGCTTGAGTCACATTTTAATTTTGAATCGGAACATTTCTTTCTTTTGTGCATTTCACTATGCACAAACATGAGAAATTAGTTACAAAAGTAATATAATTTTGTCACATGCAGAAAAGAATTTCTATGCTAATAAAATTATTGAAAATTCTTAATTTATAAGATTCATTTTATGTATTTTTGAGCACCATATATCATTTCAAAAAGTTTCCTGGAATTATTCTCACTGTTAATATCATTTAAGAAATAAGATTAAGACCTTTTTCTGCATGTTCTAAAATAGATGCACTTTTATGTAACAACAAAAACTAAATCAGAAAATTCAAAGATAAAGCAAAAAAATCACTGAGTAAGAAATTAATTGCATTGTAGTATCACAGACTGTAACGAAATCAGAACTGTGCAGTGAAAGGCATGAAAACCTTTCACTGTTTCAAACAAACCTGTATTCTGGTTTAAAATACAAGCAGAAAAAATATTTACCATCAAAATCATCAAAGAAGTGTCATTCATACACAGTCTTCTCATGCAGCTCCCAGAAATTCATTTCCACAAGGCAAAAAGTTATCTCAGAGTTTCCATGCTATGTGGGAAATCAGCAAAAGTCAGAGAATTTGAAAATTGACCAAAAAAGTGGCGGAAAAGTTCGGGAATTCAAAAATTTACCAAAAAAGGGGGGAAATTTAAATATTTTATCTAAAATATGGAAAAATCAGGCAATTTCATATCGCAATTCCCAAAAAAGTTATTTTTGTATCACTCTTTGAAGTGGATCACTTTCTTGTCAAATTATATATCATATGAACATCATTCTGGCAGCTGCTGTAGAGCCAGTGATACTTACGGAAAATCCCGTCTACCATAAGAGATAGCGCCAGTCCTCCAAACGAGGATGCAAGTGAAGTCTGTGTTTAGCCAATAGAATTATTGAAAAGAAAAAATCTTGTGACACTCATACAAGGCTGAAAGTTTAAAGTGTTTTATCTTCTGTTTCATAGTCTGGTCAGAAGAATATCACAGTCAGTTCGTTTTATAGCGAAATTTTGTTTATTAAGCAATTTAACAACTCTTATGCTAAGAGTAAACAGTTATTATCTGCACAAATAAGTTTTTATGCAAATTAAGATTTATAAAATTGTTTTGCTTATTAAGATTTATAAAATTTTAAAGCAGTATATAAAGAGACTTAAATAACTTGAAGCACCATCCACCATATAATAAAATCAGCTTCATATTTTTTAATCTTTCCCTCCTCCCTTGGCTTGCTTGTTTATGTGTGGTATGGGAGTATGTGTAATAAGTAAAGTGTTCTATAATTTTATTGTTCTGCATGTATTTTTACACAAATAAATTAGAAGAAAAAAGTTTATCCAATAAAATTTCTAAAGATATGCTGTTTTTAAATATTTTTAGAAAAATGTAACATTAGCCCAACTGCTCTCAAAATGAGTATGTGCCTGTAATGGGGGGGGGGGACCTGTTTGGGAGTAATATAAAATCCGAAAGCTTTCAGATTTTTCTTTTTATTTATTTTTGAATTTAAAATAAGGTTCAGATTTTGGACAGTTTATGTAAAATTATATAGAGAATAAAATATGCAATGAGGTAAAAATAAAAAAATTATTTGTACAAGAGATACATATGTATCATTACATAATGGGATAATGGTTTCTATTTACAGTGCACATTTTTAAACTAAATTGAAAATAATAATAATACTAGATAAAATAAGAAATGAGAACAATAAAAATAATAATAAATAGATAAAATAAGACTAAAATGAGTCGGGATTAAATATCAGAAACACGTTTAAAAATGAGAAAAGCTAACTTACAATCACTACGGATGAGGTTTGAACTCGCAATCGTTCCCTTTGCAGTTCAACGCGCTGATCACTTAGCTATCTGTGATATCAGTTTCTATGAAAAATAATGTAGCAGGTAGAAGTCACTGCAAAGGTAATTTAATTAATATTTAATAAATGAGTGCTGTATGACTTAAGTTATAACTATCCTCGAAAATTTTGTAACTGCATTTTATTTAATACTCTTTCACAGTCAACTGCTTTATTTTAAAAGTTGTTAGATTGTTAAAGTTAGTATTTGGTGTATTTAATATTGGGATACTTACAGAGCTTCTTGTTGCACATGAAATAACAAACATTTGTAATAATTAAGAAGAATTTTGTAAGGCAGAAAATTTGATTTTGTAGAAACTGTAATTTATTTAGGTTCCTATTACAGTGTTACCTTCAAAAGTCTGACAATATTTCATCTTATTAGGTTATTCTGTCGTCACAGTAACACTGATCCTCTGTGTGCAGCTGATTTTGGAAAAGTAATGAAGCAGATTTTTCCATCTGTTAAACCACGTAGACTGGGTACAAGGGGAAATTCAAGGTGTGTTCTCATAGTTTTTTGCATTGATTTTATTTGTGTTCATGTTTATGTTTATAATTTTTGGTTTAAGAATATATGTGATGTATTCTTTCAAATTATTTACCAATTAATATATTTAAAACTAGAAAATGGCCTTTAATAGTGCTGTATTTTATTTTCTGATATTTCTTGTTTTCAGCTGAAAATTGTATAAGAATAATGTTACAGAAGTTTATGAATTGGTGGAGTTCAAACAGTACTTTCTCTTCGTATTTAGCGATCTTTTTATTTAAGGGATGAATAAGAATTAATCTTTGTTCAATATATATATTAATAATGAGTAAAATATCTCATTGTTTGCTGTAGAAATTGATTAATTGTCAACAGGACATATTTAAATTTTTTTTTTTTTTTTTTTTTTTGTTTTTTTTATAATACTTAAAAATGGAATGGACCTCTGTAATTTTCATTAATCATTGCAAATATTCTGTATAATTAAAATTTTTCAGTTATTGCACAATTTTTGGGCATTGAATAGTGTTTTATATTCATTTTGATGTCTTTATAAAGTAATGAAGGTAATGCAGGTGTAATTTCCGTTCAACGCATGGAATTCGCGAACTGGTACATAACAATTGTTTTAAAAAAGTAGTTTTTGCATTTGTGTTTTTTTTTTAATGTTTAGTTTATAATTTTGGTTTAAGGGTTGTATTATTCTTTTGAAATTGTATTTAACTTCTCCAGTGTTTTCTTTCACTGATGGCTACAGTTTTCTGATATTTGTGTTTTATTCAAAATTTATAAGGTATGTCCGTTGCTGGTGTACACATGTTTCTCTTTTTTTAGCGTGTGATGGCCATTGTAATCTTTGTTTTATTTGGGTCCGTTTTTAATGGAAAAAGACTTGATGGGTGCTTTTTAATTGCATTCTTGCCAATTCTTTTAAAAATTTATTCAGTCATTTCTGAATTCATTTTGATGTCTTTATATCAGATGACTGGAATATGCAGAGCAGCTACTGCAACTTTTAAATAATATAACAAATTGTTAAAAAAGTAATGCATACCTTTAAAAGGTGTAATTTTTTTAAAGTGCTTATAATGCATCCAGACATTGGAACCAGAAGACTTCAACGAGTGCATGGAATTCGCACTGCGCACATTTGCAAGAAAATACTGTAGATCGAAACTTCCACAGTAAGTGTTCTCTTCACTGATAAGGCTACATTCTCACTAGAGGGTGTGATGAATATTCATAACTTGCATACTTGAGTAGATGAAATCCCACATGCTGCATGTACACATGTCTCATAATGCAAATTTATCCTTAATGTGTTGACTGGCATTGTAGGAGCTTGTTTATTTGGTCCGTACATTCTCCCAAAAAGACTTGATGGTTGCATTTTTCTTGCATTCTTGCATTCTTGCAAGAAATTCTGTCAGTCATGCTGAATGATGTTCCTCTGCTTATTTGTTGATGCATTTGATTTCAACATGATAGAGCTCCACGTATTTCAGCATACAAGTCGGAACACATATCAGGCTACTTTTCCTGAGTGCTGGACTGGCTGCGAGGACCAATCTTATCCACCACGATCACCAGAATTGTCTCCAATTGATTTTTTTCCTTCTGGTCTTTTTTTTTTTTAAAGCACTTATACATTTGAATCACCTTTTTCATCGCTGGAAGACTTAATAGGAAAAAATGTTGTGGTAGCAAGATCTGTTCGAGATACATGTGATAACTTTGAGAAGATGTGCCATTCAATGCAGCATCAATGTTGGCATGTCTCGATGTATCTGGGAAAAACTTTGAGCATCTCCTATAGTGGTCGTACATTTGTAGCATGTTACTAATATAAATAAATGATTTAAAATGGTTTTGTTTCTTGTCTTTGTATTACATATTATTTCAAACAAACCTCTAGTGGCTCTAGATAGTATTTGCGACCCTATGTTCCTATATGATTTTTTTATGTTTGTTGTATGGCTAATTTGCCGTGTTATTTTGTAAACGTTTTTTTGAGTCATCCTGTATATTAGATGTTGATGTAGGATATCTGAAAGGATTATGCAATTATCATGCAGATTTACTTTTAGCATCATAAAAGAAAATATCCAATGGTTCTAAATAAGAAAAATTATTAACAACTTTGTATGAAAAAACTAATTATAAAATTTTGAAACAGTACTTAGAAATGAGATTAAAATTGAAAAAATCTAATGTGTACACCGCATGACTTTCCTTGTATGGAATATTAAATTATATGCATTTTTTCCTGTTCGATCATATTGACTCTATCCTGTATCCTCTTGCTTTAAAGGTTTTATTCATTCCTCTTAGAGTATGCCTAGGGTTGAGGGGAATATTTAGTGTATTGTTTGGCAAAGCATTTTTTATACTTCAAGTGAAAAAGGAAAATATAATAAAATTTTCAAATTAATTCTGACATTTACCTGAATGTTCCTCTCATGCCAAAAACTGGAACAATTAAACCATAAATTTAATTTATAAATTTTTTTCCCCAAATTTATGCTCAGCAACACAAATTAACCATTCCAACAAGATGGTGTATCTCATCAGTGCACCATTCCAAGAGAGCAGCTGTTCAGTAACTGAGACTGCCGTCCTGAAAAGGTTTTATAATCTTTGATGAGTCTTGCGAAAAATAAGTTAACTGGGATCAGGGAAAAAATTTGGATACAAAGTTTATAATCAGTTTCACTTTTTTTTTACATAGTTGCCATGACAATTGAGACATTTATGTGAATATGTGATTCTTTATGCTTATTAGTAATATGGCATCTTGGTCAACGAGCCATATATCACCAGTATTTTGACATTCTAATCTTTTTAAAATACTTAGACACCAAGATGTTTTGTTGTATGATATAGAAGAACATTGTGAATGATTTTAAATAAAATAAACATGATTTGAAACTAATTGGAAAAGTGCCGAGAAGTATTTTCTAGCTGTGGGGGTCATAAAGCTTAAGTGCAGTAGATTTTGAAAGATAAGAAAAGTGGTATATACCTTATCATTATTCTTGCAATTATTCCTCATCAGTATTTGTATGTCACAGTGGTCAGACTTACTGAATACATTGTGACTGATGATGAGAAATGGTTTCACTGTAGCATTCAAAATTGAAGTAAACAAGCAAGTATTAAGTGGAATCTGGAAGCTTTCAGACTTGGAAATTTGAGATCATGCTGTTTGACAGCAATGTGATGGTTATTGTGTTCAGGACGAGAAGACCAAATTGGGGCTTTCCTGGAAAAGAGAGCTATAGTGAGAACCACTGTGGAATGTTTTATAAGTTGTCATCAGAAATTTTTGTTCTTCTGAGAATTAACATATTTCTCCTTCATTATATAATGCCACACATTGCTTTTTAGTTTGGGAATTATTGCAGTATCTTGAATGACAGACATCTGACTATTCACTATATTTTATAGTTATCTAGAGCTTAAATAATTCTCATCTCTTAAGGAACAGTGGAATAATCTTAATAGCCATAAATTTGAAAGTAATGAAGAAATCTGAATTATGATTACATTGTGGCTGAGCATCGTAGTTATTACATGTGACAAGAGTACAATAAGAAACTTATTTCACATTTAGATATCTTAATCTTTATACTAAGTACATGGATAAATAAGATGTTTATTATGAAATTCATGTCTAAAAAATTGTGCAGTTTACCTAAACAGGGTTTTAAGATGCCATTGTTCTATGTTCAATATATTTATGAAGCCAGATTCATGATTGAAAAGAAAGTAAATAACAAATCAATCAGAAGATGCTAATTTATTCTTTGCTTTCTAAATTTTAATTTGCCAAATATTTATATAGCATATGTATGAAATTGCTGTATTATTTCATAAATATGATCATTTTATTAATTTTTTGTTATGTTAGTTGAATGTGAAATATTAAATGTTTTTATTATTATGATGTATGACATTTTATCTTCAGACTGATATAAAACTTTAAAATTTAATTGTTTAAAATTGTTAATTTGTCTATGCTTTTGTAGGTACTGCTACAGTGGTTTAAGGAAAAAGGTAGATGTAAAGCCACCTAAATTGCCAGATTTGAATTCAGATAACTGTGATGTAAGTAATTCAGTATTTCATGTTTTATACGATTCTGTTATTTTTTATATACATATTTTTGGTTATTTTAAAAATCCTGCAGAGCTTAATATATTTATTATACAGATTTTGCAAATGAAAAGGCAATACTGTATTTGCATATTGATTCATTCTGTGGTCAATGAAAAGCAGTTTTAATCATAAACATGGCTCATTATCAAAAAATTCTTAATTAATTCAGAAGTAGTAGATTTTTCAGTGGGTATGTAGTTTAATCTTGTTGTTTTTTTATCATTTTGAAAGTTACAAAGAGCTTAATATTTGGTATCTTATTTTTATTGTATATGCACTATGAGTATTCAAAATAGAAACAATTTTTAGTTCAATTTAGACTGAAATGGAAGATGTCTGTTTATGGCACCAGGTTCGATAAGTGTCCGCATGGTAGGATCATTGAAGCAATGTACATTATGGTCAGAAAGCCTTTGAAGAAACATTTTTTGAAATGTTTCAACAGAATTAGAACTGATCTATATATAATATTTCAGAAGATGAATATATTGAATGTGAACATAGTAATGAATCAACTGTATCAGAAGATATTGACAAGGGCAAAAGTAAAAATTTTAGAAATAGAGAAAATTTAGATAAAAATAAATGTATATGTGAGTCTCTAACTATATTACTAAATGGTATGTACTTCAGAAATTTATCCATATAGAGTACGAGAAAATGAAACGTAATCATAACAAGATTGGTTTTAATAAAGAAGAGCCCAAGGATTTGGAGAAAAGGAGAATCATTTTTTTTGTATAATGGTTATTTCCACAAAAGAAAAATGAGATAATAAAAAATATGAAATTATCAATATTCAGATGTGTCCAAGAACATATACAATAGTAGTTACATTCAGATTGGTCCAAGAACATATACAAAAGCAGTTACAGAATCCTCATCTATCTTGTGAATTTAACTTTCAGAGTAACTCTTAGTCTTAATTAACCAAAGGGAAGTTTGACAGCAGCAGATGAAGATTTAGTGTCTTAGAACTTTAACATGTGATTTTGTGTTACAGGATGACATAAAAGCTGATGAAATTTTTTTACTCACTGTATAGGAAACCAGTATACCTACAAGATTCTAAACCCAAATGCAAGAACTGTATACAAAACACAGAAATTTGAAACATATTGTAATTATTACTGTGAAGCATTTTTATATTTTTATCTCAAAAATGAATGACTCTTTTGATCTATGTTAATGTATGTTTATAAATATTAACATTTGTATCAGACAGTATAGTATACTTTTCTGTAATTAAATAATGCATACCAGTTTTACCAGTTTTTGTGGTTAGTGAGTTTACTTCCTCTTTTGTTAGGTATTTTTGAAAATTTGCATTTGCTGATGTATTAGTAAGAAAAATAAATATTTCAGTTCAGGTAATGAGCAGTTGTAACAGATATTAGTACCATGGAGGTAGGAAAGGAAGGAGGGGCCAACCGCCACTAGAAGTGAAGCACTGCTTTGAAGCTTGGGTCACCAGATGGGGTGTTCTTTGTTTACATTCAGAAGCTCGCTTGACAGGGTTCTGATAGTATTTCGACACACGACAGTTCCATACAAAGCGAAAAAGGGACACTTTCGCATGAAAGAAACATTCATAGTGTGATGGATAATAGCAATTTGTATAGTTTAGTGACATTTTCACAAAAATCACATCTTGGTTATTTTTCGATAACTAAAACAGCGATTTTGATTATGAATTTGTTTTATAAAATTCTAAGCTGTTGAACTACAAAAATATAGATTTTTACAATAATGTTATGCTTAAAGAATGAAAAATACCTTATGGTACCTTTAAAATTGTATACGTCTTTCGATACCCTTGATAGAGTATTCGCTACTTTTATTTTATGTTCCAAATGCCAAAATGTTTTAAATAAAATAAATTTTTTTTCACATCCATATATTATTGTAACGTACCTTTTAAAATTTTTTACAGAAGAGGCTTTACTGCTGCTCATTTTAAACTCATCGTTTTAATTTTATATATCTGAAAAATAATCACTTTGGGCTTACACGTTTTACTTATTTAGGTTAATTAAAAATAAAATTACCATCAAATGCTGCAATCCATCATTCAAATTATATTCATATATATTTTTTATATAAAACTTTTGTGTGTATGCTAAATTAGTGTAAATTACTTTACTCGAAAAATATAGTGAATGTACAGAAATTAAAGATTTGCACATGCCGGAAATGAAAGATAGGAAATATGTATGGGTATTTATGCATGTGCTTGCAAAAAGCATATATCTGCCTTTAACAAAATACATAAATATTCATTAAATTATTTATAAATGTATTTGTAATGAAGAATTTATTCATTTATAAACAACTGTGAAAGTACTGTGAAGAAATCTAATTATTAAATGTATCTAATTTATAATGATTATAAATGTTATCTAAATGTGTAATAACCTTAATATTGAATTGTAAACATAAATTGAAATCCTGTTGACAAATATGTTATAAAACTATTTAAGCAAGAATTGTTTGTATTAGAAAGCAATCTATTAAAAGGTATTGTAAAGCAAATGCTATGAGATGCACACTTAAGAACGTAATAAAGAGTTTTGGAATATGTATTATTGAAATGAAGGGTAAAAAAAAAATCTGATAATTATAATTAAAAGAATTATTCCCCTTACATTTTATAATAACTCGGTTACAAATTTTAAATAATACTTAAAAAAAAAAACTTATTTTATTTCCTTTCAGAAATGTTCAGAGAACGTCAAGTACTATTTAAAGTATTTTGTTAATTCCTAATAATTCTCTAATTTAAAATGAACCGAATAGAGCATTAATTATAAATTGACTTACATTTTTCGATTTAAAAGATGCCTCAGAAGCCAAAAAATCATGTCATATTTAAGAAAGTATTTTAGGAAGAAGCTCTATAAATAGAAAAGAAATAATGCATAATTTTAATATTAATAATACAATAAACTTTGATCTTAATTTTTGTACCTTAACCGAATAAAATCGAATAACCTTAACTTTTTTTTTCCTAATGTAATTAATGAAAACTTGTGAAAATATTTCATTCAAATTAAACCATTCTGAGAAAACTGTCCTGTGAAAAGTATAGCATTTAATTCCGTTAGAATGAAATGTTGTTTAAAAATATGTTGTTTTCATATACTTAGGGCTCTGAAGTGTTGTAGAAAAAGAAAATATATACATTTATATGTATATTTATGATGTAATTACAAAATATTTATATCCGAACGAGTCAAATCCCATTGAACTCAATGGTAAATGACTCAATGTTTTGGTCACCACGTAGGGATCGCGAGTGCTTCAGAGTGTTTAGGGCTATTCCATCTTACTTCCTACCTCTATGATTAGTACAAGGTGTAATCAAAACATTATGGGACTGGATTTTTTTGCTATTATTTCCTGAGGCACTAATATGCAGGATCGATCTTGGTGTTGTGATTGTTATGAGCTGTGAATGTGTCATGCAAAAATGAATCAAAATGTCTTGCACAAATGTCTTGAGAAATGTTAAAAAATTAAAGCTTTGATGGGGAGGGGGGAAGGAATAATAAGGTATGCAAATTTCTTCATTTGGTGGATTTTTTAATCTGAATTAGCATTTTTATTAGCATTTTCTGATCCGGTTATCAGGTTCTTGTTCTTCTTGGTTAGATATATGAAAAATACAATTTAAAAATTTCTTCTTTAACATAATTTTTCATTGAACTATGAAGGATATTTTTTATCCATGAAAAGGTTAAATATTTTTGTAATAAAAAAAATTGTCTTTTTGCAATATTTCAAGTTTTTTACAGCTTATATTTACAGTAATATTCTCTTTGCACAATACAGTAATATTCTCATTGCACAAACTCAGAACTGCAATAGAAGCAAAATAAGTTCTTTCATATGTTTTTCTCTTTAAGAAGTGTAATTTATATATTAGAAGCCTTAATATGTGAATTCCTCTCAAATACAAAGATTTTGCTTGTTAAGTTTTCCCAATTAACCCGCGAGCAGACGCCCTGGGTCCGGCTCAATGTTTTTTGACAAAAAAAAAAACTGTTACTCTTCAGGTAAAATTATTACATTTATGCCAAAATTTTATGATCAAACTTTAAAAATTCAAATTATAAAAAATTAAGTTTTTAATTTCTATACATTTTTTCTGAAATAAGATATTTTAAAGGAATAGAGAAATGTATTATATTAATATAGAAAAAAGTAGCATACCTTTATTCTGTACTGATTCTTTATTATCACCATAGACAGAGAAAAAGTGAAACGAATGTTAGCAACACGTTGGACATGTTAGCAACATGTTGTAGTGTGTTTCAGACACAAATATTTTTCACATTTTGTACAGTGCATTTTGTTTTTTCTGTCCTTTTTCGGTGGGCAAACATCGCATCTCCTTTTTGTTTCTGATCTTTTTTTTTTCGGCAGTTGTCCATCATCATTATTTTTGAAATTGGTATGTAATTTTGCATGGAGTTCTTTCGGAAGAGATGGTATCAAAGCATAAAATTTTGTTTGTTCCTTGATGAGGCTCAATGCAAGGTATTTCAGAAATAAATGCTTACTTTTATATAATTTTGGAGCATTTTCGGATGACAAAATGAGTATCCTTGCATTTATTGCAGTGGTGTTTAAAACATTAAAAAATACTGCCATAGACCACCTTTTAGATATTCTGGATGTAAAATACAAAGCTGACATTTCATCAACTATGTCTACAGTCCCTTTCATAAGGTTGTAAAATGTTACAATTTTAGGCTTCTGGCATTACCTGTTTCATTGTTGTGATGCATTGTTGTTAACAAATGTGCACATTTATTTATTTTTTTTTTTTTTACGAACATAGGAAATTAAAGCTGTATCTTTTTTAAAACTGAAAATTGATGGAAACACTTCTCAATTTTTGCCAGAAACAAACTTTGTGGGTAATTTTCTTTTGTTTTTTTTTCGAATTATTCTGACAATAGTTAGCTTTTTTTTAGCAGATCTTTTGCAAGATTGTAACTTGTATACAGTTATCTGTAGTGATATTCGAACCCTTTCAATAGAGGTTTCGACACAGTCCTTTTACGGTTTCATCCGGTGAGTTTTCTACACAATTTGGATCTTGTGGTTGTGAACCTGGATAGATTTCCAAGTTCCACATATAAGAAGTTCTTGCATCAACTAACGCAAAAACTTTTATCCCGTATTTCAAAGGTTTATTAGGAATATACTGCCTGAAAGAACATCTTCCTTAGAAAGTTTGAAGTTTTTCATCAATTATGAACTCGGCGACAGTGTAATATTTCTGGCAGTTATTCACAAAATCTTCAAAAATCTCTCTTATAGGTGTAAGTTTATCTGATTCTTTCCTGACGACGTGAGTTCCAATGAAAGGTTCATGTAGAAGTGTAGTGAGACACCCAATGTTTATTATAAGTAATGTAGGTATAGTCCCACTACACTTCGGTCTAGAGAAAACCAGAAGATCACAGGACTCACGGAGCCTTCATGTCACGAAATATTTGTTTCACCCCACACTGACAGCTCCAAGACCTCCTGTGAAACCTGGGACTCCCAACCAAGACCCCGAGCATTTATTAAAATTTTGAAAATATATACAAAAATATATATAGCATTTAACAGATGGTGCCATTGCACTTACATGCTTTGGATACGTATCCAGTTTCGATTTGTACAATTTGGTCTTTGTGGTAGCAATACAAATATATTTAGTATAATAACATTTGATACAATTTTAACTAATTAAATAAATAATATAATTTGAGAATTTGAATTAATTAGTATAGTACAATTTAGTGTCCAATTTAGTTCAGTAAGGTAGTTCAATATACGTATATATTCAAATATAACACTGGTTTTCCCCATGTGTAATGTGTATATGAGCCAGTTTCCCTTAGAAAGTCCTCCATGAAGGCATTTCTCCCTTTAGGCAGATAGCCCTCGAGGCTTTGCCATAATCACACACACACACACACACATATAACACCAGTATATACTATATTCAAAAGATCTACAATAAATAATTCAGTGATGTATAATTCCTAATACTTTATAATTGTAAAATTCATAAAAGTTCAAAGTAATATATTGGCATACAGTTAAAAAAAAAACTTTTATTGCCATACAGTTCATATATAGTTTGCATATAGTTGATAATAGTTTTTTAATAGGATATTGGTAAATGATTCTTAATAGTTCATTGGCAAAATTATTGCTGTTTTAGACAGCAAAAATAATTATAATAGATCATTGACATTAGTAATCGTACTAATTCATATATCTGTACTATTCATATATCTTAGATAGTAGACCAACTGTCATAATTATAATAGTCCATAATAGTTCCGTGAGGTAAAGTATGTTATATGTCCTGGATGTTTCTTCATGTCTTTCCTTGTACTTCCTGCTTCACTAATCTAATAATGCTTTGCTCACCCGGCGTCTTGTTTTGAGGGGGGGAGATGTAAAATATAAAAAAATATGATGGCTTTGCTTTTCATGAACACACAACCTTTAATTAATTTTCTGCAATTTAGGATCTTCCCCCTAGACCAGTACCTTCTAGAATTTGTTAGCCTATTATGTAACCGCTACTATAAATACTGAGTGCATGCCATTTTTCAGTCAGATTGCTTCCTAATCTCGCTGCTACAAGACTCTGCGCTGCCCTGTCCATCTTTTCTTCCTTTGTTAGAATTAGTTATGATGCATAAAGTTTAAATTCAATCATACTTAGTTAAAACCACTATTGATATGTAATTTAAAGAGTGCTATCTAAAAGGAAAATGATCTGCTAATTGGAGTAAACAAAAATGGGCAATTAAAAGCTAAATCAATTCTTGTCGTCTTGGGATATCCTCCTTACCACTCTGCGAAAAGCCATGCCTGAACTTTGATGCCGAGCTTCATGACTGCCAAAATGTCATATATGCTATAATAATATATATATGCTATAATAAATCTATACATTGACGACTCTTGGATTATTCATGTTAGAGATGAAACGACTACCACCGGTACATTCCAGTGTCAGCAAAACACAAACATAAGGAAATGTTTGTAGGACATAGTTTTGTGGGGAAATTTCTAACCCAGTTCCATCTGTTGCCCACACATCCCTCATATTTACATGAGATGACTTATGAACACAAAATATAAAAGACGTATAAAAGCACAAATTTCAATTAGAGTTGTGTGATGAGCATCTCTCTCTCTTTGAAAGTTGTCAGAAATAGATGCACTATAAATATTTGTATAACTGACAACTTTCAGCAACATTTGTTCACTTAGTAAAATCTCCCACAGTTGACTTGCAGTCCGTACATATTTCTCCTTACTGATGTTTCCAGGCAAGTTAGTAATAATATTATGAGCAGAAGTTCTAACATCAGCTATCTCAATTTCTTAATCATTATTATAAGAACTAAAAAGTTCATTCACACACACATAATCACACACACACACACACATAATCACACACACACACACAAATATAACACAGTATATACTATATTCAAAAGATCTGTTCATATCTATATTCTACTATATTCAAAAGATCATCACTTTCGTCATCAGTTTCTTCAATGGATTCTTCACCAGTTGATACATCTTCTAATAATTTTTGCAAATGTAAAATTTCTTTCTTGTAGGATAAATTATGCTACATGTTGGCAGCTTTCTGTGCTACCACAAATGAACTACGTTAAGAATAGGTGCGCTGGGTCTGAAAGACCCCATCCGATCAAAACAAAACTTCGAATCAAATTTCTCGCAAAAAAATTTGGAAACATAAGGACATTTCCCTCAGAGGAGCCTACACTGAACCACAATCACTTGAGAAAAATAGGGGTGTTTTCAGAAAAGTTTCTTTAATCAGGTGGGTCCATTGGACACAACATGCATGCTCGCAGGTTAAAAAGTTTAATTACATTCTATCAACTCCATTATCTGCATTATGATTTCCCTCTTAATAGGGCTTTCTGCTTAAAACATTTTAACCCTTCTAGATTTTTTAAAAGTTTTGTTACAGGAATTCTATTATATATGCAATAGCATTGATGCCAGAATTAATGTTTTAATTGGTGTAATTGAAAGAATTTGAATTATTATATTTTACTGAATTGTTTTCATATGTGTACTTTGTATCATTTTATATAAAAATAATATTTCACTTTAATTTTTTGTCCCTTTTCTTTTTTCCCCCCTTTGTTGAATGAAACTAAAAAGTATTTTTTTCTTAAGACTTCTGAAGAAAAGGGCATTACTGAAATAACTGCTGCAGCTTGTCACCTTATTTTTGAATGGGCTGAAAAATTGTTAGGAATCAAATTCACATCTTTGAAAGAATTAGCTGCATATCTCCTGGAAAATATGTGTGTGGATAATCGATCTGTTGCGGCTTTTAAAATCTTGTTAGATTCTTCTCCTCAGCTTTTAGAAAAAGGTTTGTGTATCTTTTGTTCTTGAACATTTTATTTTGCTGTTATAATGTGTTATCACTTAAATAGTTTTATTTTTCACATCCCAGTGTTTGTTTAAATTTTATAAGTATTGACAATGTTTATTTATCTAAATTATTTATCAATGAAATGTTAATTTTTTCAAATAAAAAATACTGTTATTATTTGTTTTATGGTTTTGCTGAGTAATGGTTAATCAAACCTAATTACCAGATATACAAGGTGTGGCTATTAATTTCCGGGACTTCTCTAATAACACCAGAACAGATGATGTGAAAAACATAACCTTTTAATATATTTTGAAGTAATCCCCATCTTTAAACTTCTATGCTCTGCTGTATAAGTTGTGGAAACAACTTTTAAAGTCCTGTTTCGGAAGCCTCTTCAATGTCACGTTGCATGACAATGTCTGCCCCCGCATTGCATTGCCTGTGAAGAGGTTTTTGGCCAAGCATGAGGTCGTGAAACTGCATCATCTGCCATACTTCCTGACTTGGCCCCCGCAGACTTCTTTTTGTTTCCCAAACTCAAAACTGTGATCAAAGGAACAAGGTTTGTGGAAGTTGAAGACATCAAGAAGAACGTGACATCGACGTTGAAGAGCCTTCCGAAAGAGGGCTTTAAAAGTTGTTTCCACAGTTTATACAGCCAAGCATAGAAGTGTATTACGGCAGATAGGGATTACTTCGAAACATATTAAAAGGTTACGTTTTTCACATCATCTGTTCTGGTGTTATTAGAGCAGTCCTGGAAATTAATAGCCACACCTTGTATTATTTAAAGAATTGATATAACATAGAGAAAATGAGATAATGATTACAGAATTACAATGTAACTAAAACTAGCTTAGATGCTTGCACATCATTTTAATAAAAGTATTTGCCACTGTATTTTTCCTGATAGTAACAAATCAGTGCTTCAGCATGTGTTTTATATGTCTGTCCCAACTACAACTGTGTAATCAGGGCTTCAGCATGTGTTTTATATGTCTGTCCCAACTATAACTGTGTAGTAGTTGTAAAAAACAAGAACAACTATTTAATCATCATTGTACAACATTCCATCGCACCGATATTCATATATCAAACTGGCTTCTTGAATTAAAAGCTTAAGAACAATAGTCATTTCATTGTTGCCTCGCTATATGTTTTGGGGTTTTTCCTTTTTTCCTTAAAGGTTTGACTGAACTGATATTTACAGGCATTCAAATTAAGGGTCTAAGAGCAGAGGTGTGATAGATACCTATTTGTTATTAAGTTTGCTGGTGCTTGCTATCACAGAAGTGGATGGACTATTTTATTTTCAGTATTTCGTGCTGGTGGTTTTCAAAAAACGTAAACGTTTAGTGTCTCTTAAGTCGGGAAGTAAACTTGATATTTTGGAAAATAATTGAATTCAAAATGTTTCGTATTAATTTTTATCTAATATTATATATATAGGTGCGTGCATGTATGTATGTAATTTTTTAAAAAAAAAAGTAGCTTAAATGGAAGTTTACAATTCCTATCCCATAAAGGTCCTAACCATATTTTACCTTGAAGAAAGTCGTACCCAAAGGTAGTACATGAAAAATTAAAAATTTAAATATGAAAAGTATTGCATATAAAAATGATTAAAATTAAATACTAATCTCCTCAGTTCAACACTTCAAAGAGAACTTATCAAGGGTTTTGAAGCCCGGAACCAAGTTGATCAATAAGTTCCGAATACATGTTTTGTTCCTCTAAGAGATTAAAGATACAGGACCTTAAATTTTGAAATAAATTTTCAATTTAAAATAATTTTCAGTGGTTCTCAAATGCTCAGACCTTTTCCCTACTCGCATTTGTAATTCTTAACCCTTTGACGTGCGCGATATTATTTTTATAATTTTTTTAACTAAAAATTCTAGAAATTAAATATTATGATCCTAGAGACAAATAATATATGAATTAAAAAAAATCTACTCTTGCCCATTGTTTTGTGGGTGGTGGTCACACTGTGAAACCACCGCGCGTCTAGGACTTTGAAACTTACCTAGGTAGTAGGAAAAAAAACTTACCTTTTCCCGTGTTCCGATAATGAGGAAATTTATGAATTTTAAAAAAAATGCATGTAAGAATTGCATAATATATATATTTTTTACATTATTTTACAAACTAAATCGTCAGAAAAAATTTAAAAATAAACATTTATGTAATTTTTCTATAGCAGTGAAAGTATAAGTACCTACATAATAAGAATGTTTGGCTACATGGATTAAAAAACTCAGTAAAATAAAGGATAAAAAAAAACTCAGTGTTTTTTTTTTTTTTTTTTTTTTTTTTTTTTTTTTTTTAATTTCAAAGAACAAATATTTTTGTGACACTGTTCAAAGCATGTTTTGTCTTTTTGGTACATGCATAGACCCACATTGCACGTTTTGCACATGTATCTTCATCTATCATGTTTCTTCCTTGTGCTACAAAATGTACACTGATTGGATCTAAATTTCAGTGGTATATGTCCAGTGTTATTTAGTTTCTTTTCATCTGGCACATGAAATTTGTGGTTTTTTTATGTTAATGGAGGAGGGGGCTTGGTCTTTTTGGCTTTGGTACGGATCATAAGTTTCCCATTCATACTTATTTTATTCGTATTTTGTCTCAAAATATTCAGAAAATATTTTAAATTTAAATAAGACTTTACATGATTTATATTTTTAATTACATCAAATGATATTTACATTAAATTTAAACCACAGGAAATAATTTATAAAATCACAATACTAGCTTGAGGAGCAAGTATGTTGAGGTCAGAGAAAAGTCTCTGGAAAAGAAAGACCTTTTTACTGGGCAGGTGCATGTATTGTTTAGTAATGAAATAACTCTGTGATTTCAAAACCCCTTATCTATATCCGGGTAAAAATAAATATTCCTATTTGAGAAGCAAACAAACGTCAATGTGAAGAGCAGTGGTTTCAAGGTGCGACCACCGAGCCTCTAGAACGTTGTGGCACAATGCTCTAGTGGGGCAGTGGTCGCGCCCTGAAACCACAAAGCAAATGCCATACATATAGAGGGTTTTTTTTATATATATATGCAGTTTAATTATTGCTATTTTTTATTGTTTATGATAGAAATCATGATGTGCGATGAATAACTTTTGATATTTAAAGTTGTTTATATTAATAAAAGGAAGTTACTTTGAAACTCATTGAAAACGAATTTTAAAAGGCGTCCGATTTGAAGTACTAAGACCTAAAACATGTATGATTCTGCAGTCATTTTGTGTTATTTATAGGTCAAAGATGAGTAATCAGTTGATTTTCACTCAACAGTTTCAGAAGGTTGAGAAGAAAAAAATTCGAAAATTCGTGGTTTCAGGGCGCGACCACCACGCGTCAAAGGGTTAAGACAGCAAAAATTACAGAACTCAAGTATGGATATATATATTTTTAGATGTGAGCATATATATATATATATATATATATAAATTTAACAAATATTCTCTATTCGTATATATATATATATATATATAAATTGTAGAAAGCTCGCCAAATAGTTACCAGGAGCTGTGGCCCCAAGAAAAGTTCAAAACATTTTTTAAAAAAACAATGCCATCGAAGGGTGAATCTTTGGAAACTAGTAACGGCAAAAAATACAGTAGATACCTATCAGTGTGACAAGTGAAAAGTTAAAGCATAGTAAAACCAATCGATGGAACAAGTTAAAACATAAAACAAACATAAACACATAAAAATATAAAGCGGAAAATAGTAAATTAGCTGAACTCGAAATCCAACCTGGCTTTACAAGGGAAATTTCTAGTTGAACTTCGAATTAAGCTAATTCCATTACACGTTTCACCGAAACAGACAATTGAAACTTTTGCGTTACAAAATTTTAATTAAATAGACGAATTGTCTTAGAAAATTTAATAGTCTCAATTCTCTGTTCCAATTTCTCTACACATCCGCACAAAATGACACATTAAGGTGTTAAAAGATGTAAAAACAATTCCGATGTACAAGAATAAGATAAAAATAAAAATAAAAATTAAGATAAAAATAAATAGCAGTCTGCTATTAGTCAAAAAATACAATAATTTACGGGCTGGACCTGCAAGCTTAAAGAATTATACCTTTATAAATTTTAGAAATCTGAAATTAAATTGAAACGAAAACAAACACATTGGGTCTTGCTAAGACCAAGAAAAAATATTTTTATATGTTTATGTTGGTTTTATGTTTTAACTTGTTCCATCGATTGGTTTTACTATGTTTTAACTTTTCACTTGTCACATCGATAGGTATTTACTGTATTTTTTGCCGTTACTAGTTTCCAAAGATTAGTATTTTACTGTGTTTAATTTAACGTGTAGCATAATTTTTCACTCTTCAATGACATTGTTTTTTTTTTAAAAAATGTTTTGAACTTTTCTTGGAGCCACAGCTCCTGGTAACTTTTTGGCGAGCTTTCTACAATTTCTCATATCCTTAATTTTGCAGCATATTGCGCAAAAAATTATTTAAACCAAATTGGTCTTACGGTATTGTTAATTATATATATATATATATATGCACACGTGCAATATTTGAAGGTGAATCGAATATAAACAAGCTTTTTGTTTAAACAAAATTTATTTTATAGGAAACATCTACCTTTCTACAAATTATTTTTCTAAATAATCTCCTCCTTTTATGATACATTTTCCCATTATTTTGGTAATTTTTTTATTCCGTTCTCCTAGAACAAAATTGGAGATGGGTATCTAACCAATTGTACATTAATGTTTCCACTTGATCATTGGTATCAAATCGCTTGCCTCCAAAAGTGCTTCTTTGAGAGGTTCAACCAGTGAAAATCACATAGCTGTAAGTTTTGGCTGAAGGTAGATATTCAAGTGCTTTCCATTGCCTTTCTGCCAGTTTCTGCTGTGTGGACTTTGGCATTCTTGTGAAGGATTAACACCTCACAGAAGAGACAATCTTGGCTTTCGAGTTGATACTGAAACCTAACTTCAT